CAGCGACCAGCACGGATCAGCTCCAGGCATGACGAAGCAGATATCGTCCTCTTTTGGAAGACCAAACAAAGTAGTTTCACTTTCACAACGAAGCACACAGCGTCTTCACGACATGGCGGCGGTAACAACAATACTACAGCGAGAATAAAAGTTACGCCGCCTTTCTTTGCGTGAACATTTGGGCGGCATTATGATAATATTTCCACACAGTGATGTAGATATGTGGGGGCGTGTTAGAACGAGCCGTTTTAGGTAGGCGTGGCTGACTCTTAACTTTTATAAAGAATATCTCTTTGGATTTGAGACTTTAGTATTTGCAACTTTACAGATCTTCTTTATGCACCAAGAGCTTGTAACACTCCAAAGAGAAAGGAAAAAATGAAATCGCATCATATGACCCCTTTAAAATCACAAAGGGAGTTTGGTCCCATCAGGCTAACGTGACAGTCACGACTCATGCAGCTGTAAGGTTTTCTAAAATGTAGATTTGCTTTGCATGTTTGTAGTGCTGCACAATTTGCAATTTTATATATCTGTATGGCTGTAAATAAAAATAAAAGATGTGATTACTAAATATAAATATTAAACAACAATGTTATGATTGTAATATTTCACTGTGAAATATGAAAATTTAGTCTTTTTGTTTTTTATTATTTATGGTACAAATGTAAGATTACAATGCTACTATTTTTGGCTGTCTTAATTTCGTAAATTTTTTTTTTTCAAATGTGAAACATTTCAAACATTTTTGACAGAAAACTGTTTGTGACCTTAAAGCTTCTCTAATATATTTAGCAGCCTTTGCGATTTGACAAAAATATCACAAGTTTGATTTTATTTGGATTAATTGTGCAGCCCAACGTTCCTGTAGTTCAAACAGTAAAGCAAGACGCCAGCAACGCCAAGGTCATGGGTTTGATTCATAGGAAATGCATCAAATGTTTACTTTGAATGTAATGCAATTCATTTGAATAAAGGCATCTGCAAAATGCATAAATGAAATAAAACAAAAACAATCTTAATATGAAATGTTTTTCTGGTTTTGATATCAGTCTTTGTAAAGCTCGTAAATCTCCAGCACTATCAAAACATTATTCTGTTTAACTTTCCTTTAATATACATGAACTCAAATTGGCATATTTTTTCTATAGTGATAAAGTTTATGATGTCTTTGTCTCTCTGTAGTTTCTCCAAGGGGAAACGCAGCAACCTGCGTCGTTCTTCGGTCCAAATGACCCTGAACAGCATCTCTGAACTTGTTACGCCACACGTGCCAAACGACAGCTCTACGAGCCTGATGGAGGAACCTGCTCGTCGCACACGCCGCAACAAAACCACCGCCCCGGCTGAAACCGAACCTGTCAAACGCAGCACCCGAAACAAAGGCGGCGCCAAAGCCAAGGAGGTGGAAGAAGTGGCAGGGAACATTCCAGAAGTGAAAGAAGCCGTTGAGGTGCAGGATTCAGGCTCCAATCAGCATCAGGTCCTGGTGTCTGAAGCCATGGTGAGGATTCCCTCCTCGGAGCGTCTGAGTGCGGATTCACTGCTGAACGCTGGTGTGTCTCCGGGACGATCTGCTAATAAAATCCCCATCGCTGCATCTGGGTTGCAGACAACACCTCAAGGCTCGTCTCGGACATCAGTTCGGCGCTCGCTGGTGGTGCGCCGTTCTCTGGTGGGCCTCAGGCATAGCATGACCCAAGAAGCTGTTCGCAGGGCATCCCGACGCTCTTTCCTGAAGAAGAAAGCCAGACTGGGAAACTCGACCTGCAGCAGCTCCGTCAGCGGTGAGACTAAGCTAAACTCGTATCAATTCGAGTCACCAACTCTGATTGTAAATTAATAGCTTGAAGCCAGTTTGAACACCTTAAAGGAATACTCCACCCCTAAATTAAAATTGTCATTAATCACTTACCCCCATGTCGTTCCAAACCCGTAAAAGCTTTGTTCGTCTTCGGAACACAATTTAAGATATTTTGGATGAAAACCGGGAGGCTTGTGACTGTCCCATTGACTGCCAAGTAAATAACACTGTAAAGGTCCAGAAAAGTATGAAAGACATCGTCAGAATATTCCATCTGCCATCAGTGGTTCAACTGTAACGTTATGAAGCGACGAGAATACTTTTTGTACATTAAGAAAACAAAAATAGCGACTTTATTCAACAATTCATCTCCTTTGTGTCTCTCCGCATCACCGAAGTGCGTTTTCCAGGTTTTCATCCAAAATATCTTAAATTGTGTTCCGAAGACGAATTAAGCTTTTACGGGTTTGGAACAACATGGGGGTAAGTGATTAATGACAATTTTCATTTTGGGGTGGTGTATACCTTTAAATAGGATTTATCTCTTTATCATTTGTGCTGTTTAAAGTGAATAAGTTTCTTTGTTAACTTTATGATGACATTTATGTCCTCATTGCTCTTTCCAGAGGACATTTGTATGGATGATGGAACTGAGGAAATGGAGAACAAAGAAGAACAGTGAGTGCTTTTGCTTTCTGTTTCAGTTGTTGAATTGTTTCTTCTGGGATTCAAACCCACTACCTTTCAGTTATCAGTTGAGATATTTTAACACTGTTTCACGGTTCTGTTTTAGGATTGATGTACCGCAAATGGTGACCGAACCAGCCACTGAAACCAAACCCGAATCAGAAATCCTCCAAACTGAGGTGAGAAGAATTTTCTGCTGTGGTTTTAATTTACCTTAGCTAATAAGAGAGACACAAGAGCCAGATTTAAGGCCCATTCACACCAAGGACAATAACTACAAAGACATAGTTTTCTAAATCGTCCTAAATTTAAGAAAATGGCACCACAGCTATAACAATGATGTTACAGAGGAACAGTATAATTGATCATTTTCAAACAACTTTTTGCAGCTGATGAACGATGCAGACATTGACAGCAATCAAAATTCATTCAACTTCAAAGAGCTTGAGCATTTAAAGCAGCAGACGACAAAACTGCAGCGCTCTTCTAATAAATATCCTCATATACAGTAC